CTTTTTCCAAGGCCTGGTCCTTCCTGACAATATGCCCAAAGTGTGTGAGACCACGTTTCACCATCCTTGACTCTAAGCAGCACCTTGGTTGAGCTTCCTCCAAGGGAGATGTTTGTTCTTTTGTCAGTCTATGGGACATAGGTAGCTGTGGTGTTGTTGTTTTTGTTTTTTGCCATCAAGTTGACTACAACCCTACGAACAAGAGATTGGAACATCTATGGATTTCAGAACCTGAAATTCCCATCCATGGAGTTAGTTTGTAGGAATGAAAAAGAGATCAGATCTAACCTGCCTGGTACAACACAGTAGAAAACCCCTTTTATCCACAGATATCTCTCACTGTACTCCTCTCTCTTTCCATGGCACGCTCAGGACCACAGATCCCGATCCTAGTCCAGCTAAGTCCCTGTTTGCAGAGCCTGCGACAGTGTGTATTAACAAAGTTCGCCTTGTTTCCAGAATTTGTCCAGAATGCCTTTGCCTACTTTAGTCTGCCTGCTCATGACAGCTGAGCCCGCCCCTTGTTGCAGAGGGCATTACAGTCTTCGGAGCTAGAGCTCATCTGCAGGATCTATCCCGGGTTTGCAGAGTCCTCCCTGTTTGCAGAACCCTTGGCTGCAAAATCTGTGGCCTGTGTGCGACCGTTTCCAGACCCTGTGTGTCTTCTGAACCAGAATTGTCTGTCCCTATTTGCGTGTGAGATTTGCTTTAATTGCAAAGTCGGCCCTGCACACCAAGCTCATCCCTGTCTAAGAATTTATCTGGTGCTCTTGTGTGGGACACCCCCTTTCTGCCTAAAGACATCCTCTCTGCAAAAACCTGACCTGCTTACGGCCCCTCCGCATCTGTTTCCCTTGTAAGCAGTGCCTGTCTCTAGATCGTGTCCTTGTTTGCAGAGCCTTTTCCCATTTGTGGGTCAAGTTTTATCTGCAAAAGCTGAGCCCTGCTTGGAGAGCCTGTGACATTTCCAGGGCCTTTGTCTGTTTGCACAGCCTCTGTGCATTTCCCTGGGTAGATGAAGAGTCTAGAGTAAGCTGTGTCAGGGCTAAGCCATGTTTACCTGGGGGCGGCCGTGTCCTTCCGCGGCGCACATCTCCGTCCGCGGAGCATACACCTGCGTGCATGCTCTCCTCCTGGACCTCTGTGCATCTGTTTGCAGAGACTTATACCTGTTTACCGAGTCTTCACCTGTTTGTAGGATACATCCTCTTCTGCTAAGCCTAGGCTCTGCTTTGGAACCTGTGACTTATCTACAGAACTCAGCCCTGTTTCAACATCTTGCCCGGGCTGGAGGAATTCGTGCCTGAGCACACAGCTGGCTTCCCTGCCAGCTTCTCTGAATGAATCCCGTTCCTCTCTGGACAAGCTGTCGCTTTCGGAGAGCCTGCGAGGACTTTCACAGTCTCTGAGTCAGCAAATCCTCTGCCTGGAGAGGCTTTGTGTGCCTAGAATGTGTCTTTTTCAGACTTTGCAGAGTTTGTGTTCGGTCTTCTCCCATCTCCCTGTGATGTGAAATTGTTTGCACAGACCTCGCTCTATGCAGAGTCTGGTCATGTGTTGGTGGTGTTGTTACGTGCTATTGAGTCGCCTGTGACTCCTAGCAATCCCATATATACAACAGCTCTGTAGCCTGCCCTGACCTGAAACAGTCTCACTGACTCTGACACACCTGTTGTTGTTAAGTGCCATCGAGCCGTAGACGACTCATAGCAACGCTATGCATGAAAGACCTGAACACTTGTATAACTTTGGTCGTTTCTCCAAGTTCATAGAGTTTCCGGAGGCAAGCTGTTTTGGAAGTGGATGCCACTCCTGCTTCCAAGCTTGTTTTAATCAGGAATCTCCAACAAACACTGTCCACCATGGGCAACCATTCTCGCATTTGACACATCAGTGTCCCAGTGTTCAGCATCACATCAACCATGAGTTACCTCTGTACAGCAATGCACAGACCAGTGCTATACCACTTGGAAAAATGTTTGACAAAAAACAATTTAAACCAGGACCAAGGGCCACAGATTAAACTCACCCACCTTGGGCTTGGTAGCATAAATTTCTGTCCACTGACACACTTACTCACCCCATAACCCCAGTTACTGTGTTAATTCATCTTATCTGTGCTGTCCCTCCACCCTTCCAAGCATGATGTCCTTCTCCAAGGACTGGTCCCTCCTGACCTTGTGCCCAAAGTATGTGAGACAGAGCTTCAAAATCCTTGCCTCCAGGGAGAAACTTGGTTTTACCCTCCCCAAGACAGACCTATTTGTTCTCTTGGCAGTCCATGGTATGTTCAGTACTCTTTTCCGGCACCACAACTCAATTCTTCTTCTGCCGTCCTTAGTCATTGTCCAGCTCTCTGATGCATAGCATATAATTGTGAAGACCATGACCTGGATCAGTTGCACCTTAGTCTCCAGACTGACGTCATTGCTCCTCAGCACTCTGGAGAGGTCCCTGGCAGCAAACTTCCCCAGTGCAACTTGTCTTTGATTTGCTGACTGTTGGTGCAGAGTGTTGATTGTGGAGCCAAGCAAGCTGAAATTGTTAACAACCTCAATCTCTTGGCCATCTATCATGGTGCTGCCAATTGGCCCAAGAAAACACTGTATGGTTCAAAATAAGGAAAAGAGTGTATCCGGAATGCATCCTGTCTCTATACCTTTCCAATCTATATGTGGAACAGATCATTCGAGAGGCTGGCCTTTGTGAGGAGTATGGCATCAGGATTGGAGGATGATTCATCAACAACCTGCATTATGCAGATGATGCAACCTTGCTTGCCAAAGTCGAGGAGGACCTGAAGCATTTGCTGCAGAAGGTCAAGGATCATGTGTAGTGAGCCTTTACCTGGTTCAGCAGTTTGTTTCTGCCAGGGATGCATTTCTCGCTTGTAGAGCTTTGCCTATCTGCTTATCTGTCTGTATCCGCAGTCTTGTGCAAACGTCCTTTTCTTAAGGGTCTGCCCTCCATCCACATTTGCAGAGCTGTTCCCAGTGTGCAAAGTCCCTGCAGGCCTGAGGAACCCATGATTTGTGGGTAGAACCTTTGCCAGTGTTCAGAAGCTTTGCGTGGTTTTGCAGCCTGTCTGAATATCCCTGAGGACGGCCCATGGCTCTTTTCAGAGGCTTGTCTTATGCGTGTAACTGGTCCTTTCACAGAGCTTACCTCTCAGGAATACCTGCGCCCACCTCTGGAGACCATCCTCTTTGTGGGATTTGTCCTTACGAGTAAAGCTTTTTACCTGTCTCAACCTTCTCTGCCCTGAGTTTGTAATTTCAGAGCCCATCCTAGTCTTTTCAGTACACATCTTTTCAAGAGGCCTTTCTCCATTTCCACGTCCCATTCATCAGCCTGGAGAAACGAATGCTCCTGTTTGCAGAGACTTTCTCCCTGTGCATAGCCTGCCACCCTCTATGGGTCCTATGTCTGCTTGCAAAGCCTTCCTACCTCCATCTAGAAGGCCTAGATCAATCTGCAGTCCTGACCCTGTGAGCAGATCTCATTTTTGTGTATAGGATAAAGTCCTATTTCAAGAACCTTTCCTGTATGCCAGGAGCCCTGCTTACCCCTTAAGCCCTTGTCTACTAACCCAAAAAGTCAGTGGTTCAAAGCCACCAGCTCTTCCACAGGAGAAAGATGTGGCTGTCTGCCTTGGAAACCCCATACAACAATTCTTCTCTATTCTATAGATGTGCTGTAGGTACGATTTGACTCAACACCAACAGTGTGATGTCTGCCTGCAGAAACTATTCCTGTTTGCTTCTCTGTGGGGCACTTCCCTGGCTCTGGAGACTGGTCTCAGTGTAAAGCCATCCCCCGGGTCTACAGAGATTGTTCCTGGTGCATCCTGCGTTGGTCTGCATAGCCCATGTTGCCTACAGAGACTGTCCCTGTGTTTGGTACTTGCTCCTACCCACAGAGCTCAAACTAACCACAGACAAAATACCCACATCCCTGTTTGCAAAGCCTCTGCAGGCCGGTCAGCGGTGCCTGTCCTGGTTTGCTGGGATGTGTCCTTTTGGGATTTGTTTAGTTGGTTTGTTTGTTTTGCATGATCCAGACCACGTTGTTGTTTTGGGGGGTTGTTTTTTAAATTTTTTTCCTTCATTTTATACTGGTTTCATATACATTGCTTTTCCCAAAAGACCTTTCCCATTTCTTTACTCATCCCTCCCTCCACCCATCAAATTGTGAGACCCTATGATCAAGGCACCTCCCATCCCCACCCGTCAACAACATAGAGAGAGTTGGCCTAGTGGACAGAAAGTGAAGGTGGGTGTTTTCAGTCTGCTCCTCTCAGGCCGGTTTTCATTGTTTTTGGTCAAACATTCTTCTAAGTGGCATAAGACTGGGCTATGCATTTGCTGTATAGAGGTAACTCGTGGTTGCTGCGATGCTGAACACTGTGACACAGATGTGTCAAATGTGAGAATGGTTACCCATGGTGGACAGTGTTTGGTGGAGCTCCCCAATTAAGCAAGCTTGGAAGCAGGAGTGGCACCCACTTCCACAATAGTTTGCCTCCAGAAACCCTATGAACCTGGAGAAATGATGAAAGTTATACAAGTGTTCAGAACCTTCGTTCATAGGGTCGCTATGAATCATCTACGACTTTTCAGCACTTAACAACAACGTAATTAATGCACCTCCCACTCCCAGCCATCCTCACCCCCCTACTCCCCTTTTCCCCCATTTGGATTCTCATACGTGATCTACAATAATAGTCTTATGCAGTATTTGTCCTTATGGGACTGAGTTAGTTCACTTAGCATAATGCTCTCCAGTCCCTCCCAAGTTAGGTAGAGATTTACAAAGTCATTGCTCCTGCATGCTATGTAATATTCTCTTTAAAAGAAAGCCCCATCCTAAACAATGAAATTCTACATTCTACAACGAAAGCTTCGGAAGCTGTAGGTGGGGAAGTTCTCGCGTGGAGCCCTGGCGTACAGGTGGCCTCCAGCCTGAGAACACTGGTTCTTGTTATTTGCTTCCATCCTAGGATGGACATCGATGAGGGCCTACCGGACATTGAGGACCATCGGAACCTCCACATATGGGTCATCGAGGTGAGGGCCTGACCACAGCAGGCACGATAGCACGGGGAGGGTGTGGTCTTAAGTTGAGGCCTCTCTGCCCGACCCAGAGTTCCCTCCCTGCTGTCTTGGGGGGGCGGTCACCTGAGTCGCCGTGTGGACCATCCTCTCTCAGAACCTGAAGATGGTGCCGGTACCTGAGAAGGCCTACGGGAACTTCTTCGAGGAGCATTGCTATGTCGTCCTTCATGTGAGTTATGCCTGGAGTCTGTCTCAGGGGGAAAAGGGGTGTCAGGGGCTGGGAGGGAGCCTAACAGCCCAAACAGAAGTCCTCACTGGGAACAGACAGAAAGACCCGGAATCACACCTGCTAAGTGCCCTTACCTCCCCTTCACGATCTCTCAGGTGACTGGACGAACCTGCTCGATGACCCCCGCTCCAACACACACACAGACCTTGAAGCCCCAGAACCTGAAGGCCGCTCAGGGGACGGTGCCCAGTGACCTGCACTACTGGGTCGGTGAGGCGGCCAGTGCAGAGGCCCAGGACACGGCGGCCACCTTTGTGCAGCGGCTGCAGGAGGCACTGGGTGACAGGACAGTGCAACACCGCGAGGCCCAGGGCCATGAGTCAGATTGTTTCCTCAGCTACTTCAGCCCAGGCGTCATGTGAGCTAGAGAATGGGGCAAGGGAGATGCAGGGGCTTGGGTGGTGACAGATGGGAGTGACCATTTCCCCAATCTGACAATGTGTGTGTTGTGTTTTACATATATCACTGTCATTAGCACCATCAAGTCAGAACTGACCCATCGTTGACCCTCCAGCCCGTTTCCAGAGGCTGTAAATCTTACAGGGGGAGATTGTCTATCTTTCTCCTCTGGAGCAACTAGTGGATTGGAACAGTGTGCCTTAGGGTAGGCAGTGCAAATCCTCACCACCATACCACCAGAATAGTTAGAGATGATAGAGACAGAAATAGAGATGATAGGGATAGAGATAGAGCTGATAAAGATAGATAGAGATGATAAAGATAGAGATAGAGGTAGAGATGATAGAACCAGATAGAGATGATAAAGAGAGATAGAGATTATATAGAGTTGATAGAGACAGAGATAGAGATGATAGAGATAGACAGAGATGATAAAGAGAGATAAAGATGATAGAAACAGAGATAGAGATGATAAAGAGATAGAGATAGAGATTATATAGAGATAGATATATAGATATATATATAGAGAGAGAGAGCTAGAGATAGAGATTATATAGATAGAGATGATAAAGAGAGATAGGTAGAGATAGAGGTGATATAGAGTTGATAGAGATATTAGATAGATAGATAGATAGATAGATAGATAGATAGACGATAGATTGTTGTTGTGGTGGTGGTGGTTATTGTTGATTGCCTTCAAGCCAAGCACAACTCATTGTGACCCTATGAACAAAAGGCCTAAAGCTCCTCTATAGTTATCGATGTTCCGAGGCATGTGGTTTAGGAAGTGGAGGCCACGCCTACTATAGACAAGTTTATTATGTGAGTTCTGGTGGCCTACTGGTAAAGAGCTGCGCTGCAATCCCAGAGGCACAAAGTTCAAATCCACCAACTGCTCTGTGGGAGAAAGACGGACATTCTCTTCCTGACCTATTAAACTGCCTCTGTACACTCACTGGAGGCTCAGCGACAGGCCGCTTCTGACTTGACGGTTCACAATAGCAGTAAGGAATCGGGCTGCTACTGCAAACTCACGTGGTTCCAATCCACTCGCTTCTCCCCGGGAGAAATGTGCCCACTTTTACTGAGATGCAATTCCTATGTCATATAATTAACCAATTTCACCAATTCCAAATGAGTCTTCCAATGGCTTCCACATATTCTTAGACTTGGGCACCTACCACCACAACCAAGGTGAGAACATTTTCATCACCCCGTAAAGAAAACCCTTCCTGTTCACACTCACTACCTATTTCCTTTCATGGCCTCTCGCCCCAAGTCCTGTTGTTGTTGGCAGAGCAGCTGGTGGATTTGAACCACCTGCCTTTGGATTTGCAGCACAACTCCTTACCATTAAGCCACTAGAGCACCCTACCCCAAGCTGTAGGCAACCACTAATCTACTTTCTATAGAATTGCCTATTCTAGACATTTCACATAAATGAAATTGCACCATACTCTTCTTCTGTATGGCATCATCACTAAGAGTCAATGTTTCTGTCATACACTTCATCCCTTTTTATTGCTGAATAATATTGCATTTTGTGGCTATACACTGTATTTCTTTTATCCATTCATCCCTTAATGGATATTTGCGTTGTCTTCTGCTTTTTACTCTGTTATGAATGTCAATACTGCATTTACACGTACAAGTGATAGGCTGTATTGTTGGTTTGTTGAACGGGTTTTTTACTGTCCAAGTTTTCGTGTGAATACACACGTCTCACTTCTCTTGACTGTATGCCTAAGATCAAATGCCAATATGATCTTGAGTTTCTTTTTGTTATTGTGCCCAGTAAAAAAAAAAAAAAATCTCTTTTGCTGTTAGCAGATTCAAGTATTTTTTTTTCAAATTAATCATCACAATGTATTGAGGGTGAAAGGAGCTCTGATTACATCATCCAAGACATGTTGCTCTGATAACCAAAAGGTCACGTGTCTCTGGCGGTTCGATTGCATCAGCTGCTCCAGGAGATGATGCCGGGAAGTCCCTTCCCATGAAGGCTCACAGCCTTGAAAGCCCAAATAGAGGGTCACTAGGGTTTGGAACGCACTCAACTGCAGTGAACTTTGAGTTATTTACCCTGACCCATGGGAACCTGCCAATCTTATGCCATTTCTGTTTCATACAGGTGAGCCTAATGCATGCCTGTAGTGTACACATAACCACAAATACACACGTAAACATATATATATGCAGAAGCTCACCTGTCCCCTTGTGTGCGTCCACCTACACGGGCACACCTGCACACATCCGTAAGTGTATGTGTTGACCCATACACGATCCTGCTGCTCCAGGCACTCATGTGAATAAACAGATACATAATATACCGCCACATGTATGCGCAAATGATACATAGACAAATGCGTATGTATGCTCCACGTGTGTACTCAGGAAAATGTACATCGAGGTGCTCAGAGGCTTACATACATCTGTTAAGCAGGTACGTGCAGTCTCCCCACACGGATGCACACACGTGCCCGCATCAGCACTCATTTCTGCACTTGCACGGATGCACA